TGTGTACCCATATATATGCAAGGCTTTAAACCAAGCTAGAATAGGATTGCACACTACTAAACCACGCTAGGTTGCAATCATACTATGCTAAAATATATGAATGAGGAGAGCCTTTTGAGCCTGTTTGGTGGTTTATTGATGGTACATATCAAGTGATTTGTTGCTCACATCTAGAAACCTCAAATCAATCATTATTCTACTCAGGTTACAAGTACAGCTATACTATATAGTTCCTTGCAAATGTTGTTCCAGATGGGCTGGGGGTATCGATATATGGTCTCTTTGAGAAAAGAGTTGGGGATTGGAGAATGTTTAAAGAGACTGGCTTGCAGGAAAGGATAATACAAGATGCTAGAGATGAGGAGGAAGAGCAACTGTATGTATATAGAGATAAAGCTTTCTATTTGGAGTAGGGGGTAATTGGTATATACTGGGCTCGAAGAAATGAGGAATTAATGGTTGAAGAGTCTGTTTTCAATGCATAGATGGTAAAGTAGTGAATATCTGTTGGAAAAATTACCTAGTACTTTGAATTCAATAATTTACAGACAAATATGAAAATTAGATTAACACCTGTAGAAGCTTACTATTTAATATCTACTTTGTTAACAAACTGTTATACCTGCTACAATGGTTCAAAAACTGTATTTTTATTTGAATATTCTCCTCCAAGTATTCATTAATACTTTCACTTAACAGGGACTGAAAACAATTCACTTAATTTATACATAGAAAATTTTTTTAGTCCAAATTATGCTTGAGACTTTCAAGAATAGAAATAATATTAGATAAAGTTGCTTGTATTTCTTCACCTTGCTTCTCTAAATTCTTAATATGCTCTCCAAGCTTCTGACTATCCTCTCTACCAGGTCCTCCTAGTATCTCCTTCCAGTGACCAATCTTTTCTAACTTCATCTCCCGTATTTGCTTTAACATCTTCTCATGGCCTTTGCACAGAGTGTTGAGAAGTTGGTCAGTCATTCGCCACTATGAGATAAGAACCTCACTATCTCTTAGTTCATCACCAGTACACTGAGGCCAGTGCTTCTTACTTGAAAAGCTATTATTGCAATACTTATTGCTATTGCTTGGAGGTGTAGCTGTCCTATTTGCTCCAATACTACTTCCTTTAAGCAAAGTACTTGAAGCTTCTGGCAGCCCCCTTTTTCTCATCAATGACTTGGTCATATTCTAGCATAATGGAATCAATACTTTTTTCCATACCAATTCTTCCTTCATTGTCAAATTTTTATCAATTTTCCATTAGATTTCAAAATCTCGTACTAGTTTGAGCCAGTGATTTATCACCTCCTACCACTATGTTGCCAACATTACTATCCCACTCTTGCCCAAGGTCTCTTCCAATTCTTTCCTTTGCTGGATTGAAATGCATTGCATATATCCATTAATATTTGGGACTATCCCTTGTGGATACAGCTTCTCATAAAACGAGTTGATCTTTGACTAAAACCTTTCCTTACCACCTCCAAAATCTCCAAGATTGGTAATATATAGACATACAAGCTGAGCTTTCTCCTCATCAGACCTCAAAACCACTTGCTTTCCTGCCCTCCCTGTTCTATCACTCCCAAAGTTTCCAGCAATCCCAGGTCTAAAACTTATGCTTATATCTTTTTCCTGTGACAAGATATTCTCTTGCATACTCAGACCTCCAGCATAAATTGCTGATTCTGCTATAGTAGTTATGGAACAAGGATTAATTGTAGCGGTTGGTAGACACGTGTGTAATAGGAGCTCTCTCTGGGAAAATAGATCCTGGAGTTGCAACAGTACCAAAATAAATTCTTCTGCAAATAGGAACAAATATAACAAATATTAAAGTCTTAACAGTAGAGTTTGAAGAAATAAAATAGTAAAACTTAATATCTTTAAGCTACAGCATTACTCAATTAAGTTTTGATCTCAAGAGGTATTTGATTGCCAGAGTAAAGGAAAACTCACATATACTTAAGGAGATTTCATATACTATCAGTTGCTTCCCATCATTACTCTGCGATCATGAGCATCCAACTCCCTTAGACTATCTAACCAACCTCTACAGGTCAGATCAAAGACCCTCCGTATAGCCAACTAGACTACTCTGTGGTTTGCTAACATCTATCTGGCAGAAGTATTTTAGCCACTGCATCTACAATGCAACTGCAGGAGTAAAAACCCTTCTTGTTGTAGACATGTCAGTGGTAAGCTGACATGCCTGAGTGGATGCAATACCAACTATAGAACTCTCTACCCATATACACTTAGTTATTTATGAGCATCCACAACTCCCTGAATATCTATCCAGTTCTACTTAATTCTATATCATTCTTGATGATGGCTACCTATCTCCCATTATTGACCTCTTCAGAGATTGACTACCAATTGGCACTATCCACAGTAAACCATCCTAGAAGATGGTCTCATCATAACCTCCAACTAGTGTCTTATAGTCCTTAACGATTCTTTAATACTATTACACTTTTGGGGCAACAGACTTTGGTTACCTTGCCTATAGTCTCCCTGTAACCTCACATACTACTTCTTACTTCAAAGTAGTATTACTCCATTAGTTCTGGTCCATTTTGCATGAAACTAGCTGGAGACCATTCTTCAGGTTTACCTCTACCCCCTCATGTATCCCACAGACAGCTTCCAGTCAGATGGATGGCGTGAGTGTACGTGGTGTTACAAAAGCTTTTCTTCTTGTAGACTTTTACTAGGCTTACAACAACTCTCCAAGCTGGAACCCCTGATGCTAGGAACTTATATTAGGGCTGGAGGAGGGTGTTAGCTACTACTCCTCCTGGTTACAGCTTGTTCGGAGCTCAACTGAGTGTGCGGAAGTAATCTGCATAACCTAAGATTTGAACACTCTCTGTAGTCTTGCATGACAAATAATCTACTAACTTCCTCCAAAGACCTGTATAATAAGTTACTTTCAAGGTAGGGTAATTTGACTCCAGAGCAAGGTAACCCATGGTCCAAGGCAGGGTAACTCCACCCAGACCCACCGTCAAGCAATTTAGGGTAACTTCCAAATCGACTACTTGGATTACCCTACCCAGTTGGGTAACCACTACTCCTTACTAGTACTTATGTACTTCTTACTATGGTATAGCATGTCCAACTGAGGTACCTAATCAATAGTACCTCTACTCGGTAGACTCCGGTCTACTACTATTCCTACTGTAGTAGTCTCTTAATACCAGTATGAGTATTGGTTTGGCTATCTGTAATAGTACTGTGTAGAGTCTTATTACAATGCGATCGCTGGAGGATTAGTTGTACCAGAGACTGGAAGTGGCCTTCTCACCTCTTCTTGAAGTTGTCCAACGTGGTTACCAGAACCACTAGAATATAAACTTACATCTTTGACTTAAATGGGATTTACTTACAAAGACGTGTAATTGGTTGGGGGTGGAGCGAGATCATATACCACCCTCTCTGTATTTTCTTGCTACTCATCCAGTCCGGAATTAACTTTGGTGTGGTTGGGCAGAATGGGGAACTGGGATTAAAGAGCTTTTTTACCAAAGATTGAAACCATTTTCTCTCCTCATCAGACATGGAGGGCACCAGAGCAGGTTGAATGTTGTGAAAAGCCATTTCTGAATGGCGGTCATCACTGTTCTGCAGATTTTCATCACTTGATATGGATTGATGCAATTGTGCTCGCCAAGAAATAGAAGTACGTTCAGCAATATCAGCAAAACCTCATTTTTTCCTGTATTGCACTTAGTGTCACACTTCTCCCCACTGTGTGCGTGCGGCCGGTCCAAAACCTCGATAATATAATAAATGTGGTTTTGTGGTGTAGTTGGTTGTACACCAGGAAACTGCCAATAATTCATCCAACCCCCCTCCCCATAATCCCCAATAGGGAGATGATGACTTCACCTTTTGAGAAAATGGTTAGCACTGAGTACGAGAGCAATGGTAAAAGGGTGGTTTGGTGGTAGCATAGATGACAATGCTTTGCTTACTAATAGTATTTCAAAATCTATGGTATCATAATATCATACTATTTCAGACTGTACATAACGCACACAAACTAGGGTACAATCTTTACGAGAGGCATCGCCTGGTGGCCATATCGTATATCGTACTGTAGTATGATACGATACCTACAAACGCCGAGGATGCCCCGAATACCGACTGTACCCGGAACGCCGGGGGTGCTACAAATACCGAGGGCGCCCTAAATACCGATGGTGCCCTAAACACCGAGGGTGCCCCAAAAATTGAGGGTGCCTCCAATGAACACCTGACTAAGATAGAGTTTTTCTCGGACACTGAGGAATATAATCGCCAGTATGCAAGGGTCCAGAAGATATACTTCAATTACATAAACTCCAAAGCCTGCAGAAACCCGAGGCGCCTGACGATGGGGAATAAAGTAGGTGGGGTATGGGAATTTGACGTACTCTCGGAAAAAGTAGTCGCACACTAGAAAGACGACAGTGAGGCTAAAGAGAGTCTAAAGCCAGTGAAGGTAAGGGAGTTGACCGGCCAAGAGCTGTCAAGTCGGCCGGTGTTCCCAGCTGTCCAGCATACGCGAACTATTGGTCATGGCCATTAGCCTTCTCCAGTTCTCAACCAATTTTCAGGTTATCACGTGGGGAGTAAAGTGAAGAAGGATGATTTGAGGATAGGTACTGTACGTTTACGCCCCTCCCACCCTTCTTTTCCAGTTAATTAACGAACTGTACTTGAGGTGCAATTCCCTAGTTGTGCGGTTTACTAGAATTTGCCCGCGTCCTAGACTCCCTACATAAAGACATGGCGACAAGTTAGATAGGGAAAGGGATAGGAATCGCAGTTATCGAGAATAAACCTAAGAAGGTCTGGCTGTGTGATATACAGACTTAACTTGACACAACAAAATTTCCCGCTACAGATTACTGGTATGTAGAGAGACAAACTCCCAATTTGTATTATAACCACTAGCAACAACAATTCATAGTCAATATAACCCCTTTATTCGCTCAAGATTCCGACGCTTAAGACACCAGCGTCATCTTAATCCTCCCTTTTCCCATGCACTCCTCCACATCGCCCATCGCACTAACCTCAACCAAACCAAACAGTCCCACAGACCGGCTCTCAGCAGACCCCTCAACTGTGAACGGATAATCCTCAGCGCCAAACGCAGATTTTTGCTCGTCGGGCGCCAAATCCCTCATGCAGATCAAGCCTTCGACCCCAACCCTGCGTACAAATACTACACAAACCCATTCGTGAGGATTTTCAGCTAGCCCTCCTTCTTGGTAACCCCCTAACGTAGCTCGTGTCCAACGTAGTACTAGATTCTAGCCTCCCCGCACATCTGCGCGTTGCGACGTCAGTTGTTGATCTTTCCGCATATTCACTCAAGTTTCGCTTTTGAGTAGAGTTTTGGGTGTAATGGCTCCACAAGTTAGAGGTGCGAAACGACGTCCGTATAGCAGTGGATGGGGGATGTGAAGTAGGTGTAGATCCTGCTCGCAAGAACGTAGTGTCGGAATTCAGGGTAGCCCTGGTGGCGGAACTGAAGTATTCGGCTGAGAGAATGAACCCATCGCTAGGGTGTGCACGAGTCTGTTGAAGAAAGGGTTGTAAGGGTCGACAAATCGGTCGAGTGAGTCCGCGAGCGCTCTGGCCGTAACTGTGTGTAGGGTCAGGGCTCGGGTTACTTTCGAATTGGTTTTGGAGGCCTTCGAAGTTGGAAGCTGGTTGGCTGCCGCGACGTCTAGGCTGTTTGTTAGCTTTAGTTTGGCAAAGTGTATAATATACGAGTAGATGGCCAATGGGGGGGAGGGTTAGCAAGCCTTAGCATAGCGGTTTGCGAAAACGCCTCATAAATCTTCCCCGCGACACTGGTGTTTGCCGGCGGCATAAACTCCTCAACTAAATAATTGGTCTGCCAAGGCGTCCAACTGCTCGATAAAAAAATCCCGGTAGACCGCATAGAAGAGAATTGATTCCGTTGAGGAAAATCTAGTGTGGAAGCCTAGTAACACCAGCTCCGACCTCACGGCAGTGTTAACCAAAGCACGACATATGGCCCCAGGTCCCCTGCTCACGACACACGCAGATCATAAGGAATTTGACCTCGCCGGGTCGAAGTTTGGCAGATTTACCACCCGAGATAGGGGTACACCGGGTGTAGTTTGTACTAATAGCGGACGCCAATTTAAGTTGGATGGGGATGCCGTGCTGAACTCGGGAAAACCATTGACATTTCCAATTTCTCCCTGAACTCCGCCCCCAGCAATCCAATAATTGTGAATTTATCTTCCATTCTAAGAGTGTATTATCACCGATCTGAGCCCGCTGCGCTATATCAGTGATTGGAAAAGAAAAACCAGTGGGGCTCTGGTTGTTCGGGATTCAATAGCGGGGTATAGGTAATACTAGGGGGGTAGAAAGGCGCTGGGAGCTATACGCCGCAGTAAGCGTAGAACCGAGGAGCATCATAGTGCGATGCAGGATTAATCTGCCAAGCTGGGCTACACGAGTACATAACTGACCCTCGTCTGGTGTTGAAAATAGCTGTTAGGTACTCGTAGCTTGAAACTATGGATACGGTGGTGTGCGTACCTCTCATATGAGGACACGTAAGCGGTGAAAAGCTCCCACCCCCATATCCCCCCTCCTCCCTCCCTCCTCTCTCCCCCCCAGAAGCCAACCAACCCCACTCCTCACCTCCTGTACGAAACTCTCCTCGCTTCTCTTCTGTCTTTTTTTCACACACACAATACAAGGTTCTCTCACCCCCCTCAGAGCCATCTCTATCCACCGCATAAAACCTCCCTTTCAATCATTACCGTTGCAACTACCGCTTGTTTCTTGTCCATCTCCCTCAATTTCCAACATCTGTGTTGTAATGTGACTTCCAAATATGCATCGGCTTTTGTCATTGAATACGACAGAATATTTTAATAAGGGTTTACCATGCGATTGAGCTCATTACACAGCTGACTACTACAGAGTTTCCTCAGAAACTATATTGTGGTACTAGTTTGACTATCTCGCTCACATTTCCTTTCTCCTTACCACTTGGCTGTTAGGATCGCTTCCCGATCACTCCCAAAATATATTTGTGCAACATGTAACGAGTCATATAGTAGAAGTAATATGTGTAATTACTTCAGTTGTTTTCAATATAGTGATCGTCTCTTAGTTGTCCCCTGTTGCTTAAGAAAATACTCTTATTTTCTTAAATACTCCAACAGTAACTATCATTCACTATACTTGTCTTGTCTATCCTGCAAGGGAGATATGTGAGGTATGAATATGAAGTAGTATTCGGAAAGATATATGTTAGGAAATAAGGTGGTTGTATAAAGATCTATCTCAAGGGCCAAACCCATCATCTTTTATACACCTTCCCACAACCCGCATACAAATCCAACTGTCATATGAATTGCGGCTGCCCTACATATGACTACATAACCCTTTGTCTTCATAACCTCTTCTTAGGTCATGCACATAGCCCCCATGACTTCTAAACAGGTCATGTGTGCAAAATTCAAGTAAGACTTACAAAGCTTACTCCTATCCAACTAACAATTCTAATATAACATAATGATCATGACTTATAATCTAAACCATGTGTGAAACCCACATGATTCCTAAACAGGTCATGTGTATGAACACCCCATATAACAAATAAAATCGTTTACAAACCATGCCGGGTTCCTAACATCGGCCATATTGTATTATTACTCTTGTTCTTTTCCTTTTTTCTTGTACAAGGTATATGTCATAGGTGGCAGTAGCATGTTCTTGACTAGCATAAGTAGGGCCTGATAGCCCCCGGTAGAGCATCAATCAAGCAAGAAGTACAACTTCAATCAAGAATTAAAACAATCTAATAAGCATCATATCCGAGTGATCACTCATGACAGGGCATACAACAGTCGCATGCAATCTAGTAACACCCTGCAAATAGATGAAGTCTAATGCTGAAGGGTAAAGTATATCATATATATTGCTAAATGGGAGTAACTGACTAGCCCGCATGATGGAACCGAAAAAGTGGGCAAAGCTAAAACTGTACATCCAACCCCCCCCCCCCACTCACCCTCGGACTCACATTTCCTAATAAGTATTATCCGCCGCTGCGCTGCCCAGTTTCTTCACCTAACGCTTTAGTTCCTAGGCGGCAGTATTAGTGTTAATCCTATTATCAAAAGAGCCAGTTGGTTGGTCAGCCAAGTGACCCTTGGACTTCTCACGGTCGACGGAGCTGACGCCGATGTTCTCACTGCAAAGGTCTGACTCGACCATTCCAGTCATCGGTGTCTTTCCTAAGGCTAGGAACCGGTATTGAGATAGTATCCTCTGGAGCCAAGAGGACAACTCCCACTCAGAGCACACTCACAATCCACAGACAATCGAGTCAACTCATTGCCTCCGAAGCTGGCAGCCCTCCGAGTAAACGAATGAGATCAACAAGATTACGCTCTATTAAGCTGCGAGCGTGAGACCCCGATTATGGAGGTGATCCAGCATGATCTACCTGTGACTCAGTGATAATCAGATAGCCTCCACCACTGGCCATCCACGTTGCCCGCACAACACCACTCCAGTTCTTTGGTCACCTCCTACTTCATGCCAATGTAGTCGCCAGTGTACACGACTCTAATGTGCGTATCTGCCCTCGTTTCACCGCTTCTGTTGAGTGCTCTACTTCCATGTATATTGGGCAGATAGAGAACACTTGTTCACTTTTCATTCATTAGAACCCTCTCCCTCCTTAATCCCGCCAAAATAATTATTGGTTTCCCAAAAATAACAAACTTATATCATTCTTTCCACCTCCTCTCATCCAACACCATCACCCAACCAAAGAACTCCGCTCGAATGTCTGCTGCCGGAGGAGCTATGGCAGGTAGAGCCCAAGGCCAAGTAGACGGCCAAGCACAGGGTTTACGCGACGGCGAATTAGCCGTCATTGAGGCAACAAGGGCGGTGTGGGGTTTGATCGGTGGCCGCTCTGTGGGGGACTTTGCCGTTGTTGGGGGCGCTGCCCTACTCCTCCACGGGGCGACTATTCGGACAAGAGACTTTGATTTTGGTATTACGGCCGGGTCAATAGATGCTTTCGTGAGGGCTGCCGACACAGACAGCAGGTTCTCTCAACTCCCCTTAGATTGGGAGTCCAATTCAACATTCGGAATAATTGTTGGAATTGATTTTGTGCAGATTGGCTGTGGCTACCTCCCAATTACAGGCCTATTGCCTGGATGAAACCCTGCCGGTGGCCAGTCTGGTTGACCTGGCACTAACAAAAGGGATAGCTTGGGTCGATCGCGGGTATATGAAAGACCTGGATGGTCTTAAGTTTGTGGTGGAGATGATCGTGAGGAAGGGGCAGAATTTCTGAAGATTGAGGGGCGACGAGAGGGAGTTGCTGGGAGATATTATTGAGGGCCTAGACTGCAGTGAAGGCAGACAACCGCATAGAGTTATAAGAATCCTCTTGTGAGTATAACCTTATTTTCATGGGCCATGTGCCCGCTTGGCACAGATTGGGAAGATTTGGTTCACTGGATGTCCTACGGGTGTGTACTAGTACAGTATCGCATGTATCCGTTACTGAGTGATTGGGAAAATTCGGGGTGAGATGTAGTAATCCGGGTGGGGTTCTACAAGGTCCAATAGATGGTGTTTGGTTCGGGTCCTGATTTAAGGAATAAAGAGAAAGGTGAAATGGGATACGGTGCAAGTCGCCAAAAGGCGGGTCCTCCAATAACTATTGCAACTGATCGGGATTGGGCCAGGACACTACAAACGGGAGGTGAAAATACTGTAACTTATTCCAGACCAGTATTATTTTTATCTTACATATTAATTGTGTCTCCCCTACCCACCCCCCACGGTATTTTTCGGCATGTTCTACGTTGATTGGGTCCCTTGTTTCACCTTCACCAAAAAACTCAAATAATACGAAGATACAGTGCCTAAGTTTTGAATATTTTGCTAGCAGGGGTCAGGGTAATGAATTGGGAAAGGTCGCTTAGGGCTGGAGTTCAGTGCAGTAGGATTTTCAGTTCTGTCCTTACACCCTTACTCCCGGACAAATACTCACTCACACTTACACCTCTACTACAAATATTAAACAACAAATCAAGTATTTATATCCTTCTGTGGGCTACTGTACATGTACATGCTTGTATATCTCCAATTCTGATTGCTTTGACTCTCATGCTAATAAAGGAAAGGACAAACATCACACCTTCACCCCAGGTCTTTTGGCAATTCTTGAGGCCTTTCTGCTTTGTTCCTAGTATACTACTGTTTGCCAAAGTCCACTGAGAACCCCTGAAGCAGGAACTCTTGTGCAGTTTGGTGGATGAGGTATATTTTCGAACCAATGACCTGTAAAAAAAGTCAGCACAAATTTTTCACCAATTTTTTTGAATCCAGCCAGATCCCCATTGTCCTTGCTTTCTTTATACTCCCATCTGATTCAGAACTTGATGTTCATTTATCACAATGTAAGAGGCCTCACTGCCACTACCACTATGGTCTTCATGGGGGCCTCTTTGAAGGGTCTTTGAAAGGGCCTTTTGGGGCTCAGCGGGGTCTTCAAGTGTGTTCTCGGTGGTTTTCAGGGATGGTCTTTGTGGGCTTTGTGGGAGTCTTTTGAGAGGTCATTGAGGGGGGTCTTCAGTGGGAGTCTTTAGAGAGTCTTCAATAGGGTTATCAATAGAAGTCTTTGGGAAGTCTTTGGGGAGGTATTTGGCGAAAGTCTTTGGGGAGCCTTTGTGGAGGTCTATGGTGGGACTCTTTGGGGAGGATTTTGGGGGAAGTATTTGGAGAGGTCTTTGGCTGAGGTCTTTGGAGATCTTTGGGGGGTTTTTGGGGGTCTCTGTAGAGGTATTAAGAGGGTCTCCAGGGGGACTTCAAGGGGGCCTTCAGCAGGAGTTTTTGAAAGGTCTTTGAGGGGGTTTTTGGTGG